ACTGAGCTCGATTCCACTGCTTTATTCGTCGCCACTTTGCAAACATGCCGCCGTCGCTTCAAGTTGCTATAAGCAAGGCTGATCAGATTTATCGAAGATTAAAGTGGAAGCCTTTCTTGGTGCTTCTAGTACTAGAAAACTAAAATATTTAGAAATATTAGTCGCAATCGTGTACTCACAGCTGCTTCGACAGAGCAGCGGTGATGTTAATGCTTTTCGATGAAAAAAAATTTGATTTTTCGTGAAGCAGCACATGCTTTGGCTGGTCTATAAAAAGTTTTTTCGTTCCCATCTATAACTGCATTGGCCAGTCGCAGCATAATAAAAACATGAACAAGTGATGTAATATTACAGGACCCCTGTTCAGCACTAGCCTGCTCTGCAGTGCTGCAGCACAGGGCGGTAAGCGTTGCAAAGAGCCTTCAAGGAAATCGTCACAGCTGAAATGTTCGAAAATTATCACTATATTGTAACTTTTCTTTATAATATTTTCTTTTTCTCGTAACAAAATAATTGAGTGCTTATTGTAGTGAAGGAAAATTTCGCCTTAGTTGTTTTCCCCAGCGTGCAGCCGACAGTGACCACTGTCAAAAGTGGGGGGCTCAGCCCCCCCAACTTTTCTCAGTGGGGGGGCTGGCACCCCCCTTGACCGCTCGGATGATACGCCTATGCATGGCACCCAGAGTTTTCAAATTAACCGGACTGGTGCTGACCATCACGTCAAATTATCCACTCAGACTTGCATTTCAAAATACGGGACCGCGGAAATATTTTGAGTTAAGTGGGATTTTGAAATTATCGAGTTCGAATTAAAGAGGTTTTACTGTATTTTGAATATTATTAATGTCGACGGAAACCAATTATTTTCGTAACAAACGCATTGTGTTTTCGGTTTCGGTATACGAGCATGGGGTATAGAAATCTAGCTGTAACTCTCAAACTAATGATGATAGGAGGATAATTTTTGTTGCTACATATTTTTGAATGTTCAGGCATGCAGAAAAACGAAAAGAAAAAGAAAAATCGATCTCCCAAAAAGAAATTTGACTTTTAAAGGTCAAACCACCTTGATGTAATTGTAATGTTGCCAAATATATTTTATGTTATCATTAATCACTTACAAGTTTCTATATGGTTCAACTACTATATGCTACTATATGGTTCAACAGACCTGTTTGTTTGCTCAGTTGGTTCTTGCTGAGATACATATTTTGCCACAAGATTAAGATACACACACAAGGAAGACCCAGAAGGTATCGTTGTGTGTGTGTCTTAATCTTGCGGATAATATGCCATTTAGTAGTTATTTGAGCACATAGTGTAAATTATATTATACATACTTATGGTAATGTATATAAGCTTGATTTCTCATATCAAAGGGGCTCTGCTCAAGCATTGCACTTGCTTGCAAAACATGAAAATGTTCTATATACAGTTTAGTGTTCAGAGGTTGTTATAATTGAATATTTATAATTCAATTACAAAATTTCAGTATTTGCATATCTCGAACTTGCACTTGAGGCCAAACAGGATTATCTGGGTTGTCTTTGTGCCAGGGGGGCCACAGGTGGGCTGGTAAAAACTTGAGGAGGCCGTTGCCTCCCCTGATGCCCCCTGCCTTGCAGAATTAGTGCCCACATAAGATAGCATCCTGGTTCAAAGAAACATATAAAAACTTACTTGCTAACATAGCCCCCTCTGTCCTGCCTTCAGGGAACACATCAGCTAAGATTGGCATGGACGTGATGTATGCATACTTCAGTCTACATGTGAAAACGTTCGAGCAGAAATTTTATACTAGGGAATTGTTGTTACAGTAAAACATTGTTATAGCGTACCTGTTTTAAAAGTATGATCATATTGTAGTTGTGGTGGATCCCTGACTCAACCACCACAAAACCTGATCATTAGTGAATGTCGTAATTACTTTTTGTCATTTTCACTGTACCCCTAAACTTGCCCCGCCGCTGTGGTCTAGTGGCTAAGGTACTCGGCTGCTGACCCGCAGGGCGCGGGTTCGAATCCCGGCTGCGGCGGCTGCATTTCCGATGGAGGCGGAAATGTTGTAGGCCCGTGTGCTCAGATTTGGGTGCACGTTAAAGAACCCCAGGTGGTCTAAATTTCTGGAGCCCTCCACTACGGCGTCTCTCATAATCATATAGTGGTTTTGGGACGTTAAACCCCACATATCAATCAACCCCCAAACTTGCTGTGTAGCTCAAGCCACAACACACCACAAAATATTTTCTGCTCTTTGGTTGCTGAGGGACAAATCGACTGATAATTCTGACTCCAGAGCAGTTACTGCGACGCGATATATATTATTACGGATAAACATCAGAAATACACCACAACGTAATGGATGCCATCAACAACCTATAAGGATAAGCATCAGAGATGCACTGAGGTGTGGTGGTTGCCAGGAACAGATTATCACCAGTACAACTTATTGCCGACAACCCAATTATGAGCATCTCTCAAGCAGCTGCTCACTAGTCCGTGCAGCATGGAGCAGTTGTAAAGCATACTGCACGCTGTTCATAGGCAGCAATTTAAACACAACCTGCTACCATTCACTGCTGCCTCTTTGTGCGAGACTTCTAAGTGTGTTGCGGAGACACATCCCTGGCGAGAACAATAGCAGCATGCCATCACTTTGCTGGCTCAACAAGGTACTTGCTGCACCCTTTTGTGGTGAGATGTAGCACAGACACAAATGAACTTGACTCTCCAAGTGTGTGCAGTACAGGAAACACCTTGTAATGAGTCTGTGACACTGGACGTTTAAATGTCATCCGAATAATATGACATTTGCATTTAATGACATTATGTGGCTGCTAGACAGAGATATATAAAGTCATTAGATTCGAATGACTTAGGCAATCGAATAAGTTCAAGAAACACATTGGCCTTCACCACTGAACCGAATATATGCTCTCTATCCCAGGGACTACTCGAAAAACGGCATTCGGTATTCTCAATTTGACCTGCATTCATGGAAACACCCAAATAATGTTGCTTTTCTAAGACATCTCTCAATTTTGCGACGTCAGGTGTACGGAGGGCTATTGAAAAATGTTTTTACTCTCCACAGCAGTGCGTCTGACCGCCGTCGCTGGCGGCCAGAACGTAAACAAGCAGACGCCTCTGTGCATGTGTGGGCATGTATCTCCAGCGATGGCATCAAGGGGGCTTTTTTTTTCTTTTTTTAAATCTCACAATTGAACCTCTTCTCTCTGGCTTATGGACATTTTTCGCACCGCGAATAACAAAGCAACTAAATGCATTACTTGCTGCAGCTTGGCGTCGTTGTTCAGCGGCTCTGCCATGTCAGCTGTGTTGTTTGTGTTATCCGCTGTGGCAACTGGCTAGGCAGATCAACTTGGTTTATAGTGGCTATATATTTTGCGATATAAAATTTATAGGCATCTTCATTTAGCAAGGTGACTTCCCACCTGTCTTTTAAAATAAATAACTTCACTTTTTAATCACTGTACAGTTACTTCCCACTTTTGCGGCCATTTTTTTCTGAATTTTTGTCATTGATACTGTATCATGAACGAGTGACATTACTTTTTCCTATATAGCACCACCATATATTGAATGGTATTCGTTGCACCGAATAACATTTGAACCTAATGACATGACACCTCCAATGTGACAGGGGTATAAGTGATTGTGTGAGCTAGTAGGTGGTGTGCTACACATAAATACTTGTATAGTAGTTTGAAGAAGCAGTCTGCTCCACGTGGCAGCAAGTATCTCCTTTTAGTGAAGTGGTGCCAGTTTTCACACATTGGCAGGAAAGTCTTGTAGTAGTACTTGGCAGTTAGTGTGCTTGTATATGCCACATTCCCAGGAGATTTTTAATAACGAGGTTTTACTGTATTGCGTAGCATTCTAGGAGGGGGGTTTATCATTGTGTCATTTTATTTGTGCTTGTCTTCACTTGTTGCCACATTTGGTTTTGTGCATTCGGCATTTTCCTTTATTCAAATCAAGGTAAAGTGTCATTTTGCACAACATAGCCTTCGTGTAAGTTAGTTTAGATGTGTTTACATAATTACTTAGAGATTTTTGTGCCCCTTTTTCTAAGCACTAAAATAAAATAAAAATGCACAAATTACTTGCTGTGGTAGCTTAGCACGGAAGATGTCAAGGGGATAAGCTTAAAAGTGTGTGATCGATTCCTAGTTGTGGTGGCCACATTTTGAATGGGGTAAACATGGTGCTATTTTGAAATTATTCCAGTAAACATGGTGCTATGTGTTTTTTTTTCTTTTCACATCTTTTTTCAAACCGTTAGAGTGCTGCATCTGCTATTGTGTATGCCAAGGTAATGCATTGGAATCAGAATAATAATGAAACTAGTAATCTTATGTTGGGGTTCATATTTAAAAAATATTTATTAGAGCTGCATTGAGTAGTACCGCATTAAAATGCGAAAAATGTCTTTGATGGTTCCTGCATTCGTAAATGCACTCGGTTTTTTTTTTTTTTGACAAGTATTTACAGTAACAAATGTTCTTAGGTAAAGCTTGAACTTGTTAAAATCTAAAGCATCCATTTCAGTACAACATAGTTGAATTATATTCAAAAGTAATTTCTATGATGCAAGGGTGATCAGCTTTGCCAAGTTTGGCAACTACAAGATGCAATGCTTGCTTGCACAGCTTTGGAATATAATCATGGGTGTCACAAACTGTGAAATTAAGCTCTACATCATTATTTTTCACTTCACTGCTTTAATGGCTGACGTACATGAAGGCTACAGGTTCTTTCAGGGTGTTCTATTTTATTTTTCATCTGTTTTATCTTCTGACTGTTTTGAGAATTCAGCTAACGTGGTTGCTTGGGCGAGTTGGTACGACATGATTCACTTAAAAAAAATTCAGTTGAAATTTTTTGCTCTCACACACGCAGCCTTGCCACCAGAAGCAGACTCATGTGAGTTAGGTTTTCGTTTGTGTTATGAAGTGTCCTCTCTTTTTGTATTGCAGCACACGACTGTCGGCAGGCTTGTTCAACAGAGACATCTATTTAGAAGGTATGGGCCTAATCCTATTTTTGTCCAGTGTTTAATGAACCGGCATGTCATCATATGAGAGCATTAGCAATTGCAATGGAGAAATGTTTCCTGAAGTCAAGAATATCTCATTGTAGAGCCTATGTATTGTTTCCTTGTTTGCAGTTTAATGCTTCATTACATACTTGCATATCAGTTAGTTTGCTTTCTGCGTGACCAAAACTTATACAATCAACTAGTGTAATGGAGAGAAATTGATGATACCATAGGTTGACACTGCTGATATTGCAGGAGATATTTGAAAAAAAACATTAAGTTTGCCAAGTCCAAATTGAGGGAAGGCAGGCGACTAGACAGGTTTTGAACAGGGTTATCTGCTAAAGCTGTTAGCATTTTCAATTGTGTGTCGTTTTGTGCTCCCACATGTAATATACAGTGCAGGTATCCTTGAGTCATCTCTGAACATCAGATTTGTTACCTGTTGTCATTCTTTGTATTCTTTCAAGTATTATGGTCTTACTGAGAATGAAAGCAAGGAAATTGCATTTAAATACAATTTATTGCATCAAAATAATGGCTAGCCATGGATCTGATGGTAAATGTAATGCTGTACTGGGTGTTGTCTTTCATTTACCTGCATATTGTATTCAAACAGGGAGCAAAAACAAAAAAATAACAAAACAAAGAAAGCCACAGCATAGGGGTATATGACTGGAACGTCAAATGAGATTTGCACTGCTGTTTGGTGTCCCTCCCAGTCAGATCAGATTTGCATTAATCATTAAAATGTGCCATATTTCAAAAATTCATAGTTGTCTTCATACGTGCTCAATGATAAAATTGATTTGTACTCATGTGGTGCCTCTCAATAAACAGTATCACTTGTACATTAACTAACCAGTTTGAGCCTTTTTTTTTTTAGATTTGTGGGTTTTGCCATAGAAAAGCAACAAAGAGAAATATATGAATATATATTGTTAGATAAATCAAACTCTGCAGACGTCTTTGAAACGTGGTTTGTGTGGTTCGGTGTTAATCAATAAAGTGCTCATAAATGTGTATTCTTTTGCATGCAGCTGTACGCAGGCGAGCTGCTGCCCTCGAAATTCGACAAAGCCTTAAAGCCAGTCAAGTGTGTGCTGTAATGTGAAAGTTTTTGACGTTAAATGCTACTCATGTTTTTTTTTGTTATTGCATGTGACCTACACGAATGTTGTGTTGTTTTGTCAAATTTTGTGTAGATGTTCGGCTGTCAACTCACGCTAAAAACGAGCAGTGTGAAAATTCTCTGTGGTGTACTAGTGGACCTTTGAAGCTAAATATAGTATTCCATGTCATTTTGTAGTGTCCCATACTGATGCACATCATTTTTTGAGATATTCCTCACTAGTGCCTACATCGTTGTCTTAATTTGCCATAAGACATTTTTTTCCCATCCGAAAGTAAAAGCACAGCATGATTTCGTGGTAAAAGCTTTTGCTGTTGCAGTCTTGAAGTGCTTATCCTGTGATGTGCACATAAAAGAAATCTAAATGTGAAAATCTAATAAAAGGTAGTCTACATTAACTGTATATGTAGTGTAGTGTAGTACCTTTACTTGTTGACAAAAAACTATTAGAAACAACAGTCTGATTCAGTATTAAGGGGTGATACGAGTCAAAATACACAAGGTTTCTTTCCCTAAAATTACTTTTTTGTTTTTATTTGCTTTCACAAGTTTAGTTTCTCTACATTCGTGACGGAAAAACTCAAGATTGTAATTAAACTTGAAGCAAGTTAAAATTGCTTTTAAAGCGCACAACGTGGCTACTAAAAAGCTAAAAATAGCTTATTGTTTAGAGTCTCCTGGAAATTTTCACCTGGCTGCTTGCCATGGCATTTTGTATGAGGGGTTCACTAAAGCCACACGATCAAAATACCCTTGATTGCCATACTTTATGATAGAAAATATTATCTCAAACGAACATATCTGTTCAGCATAAATGAGCTTTCACTTATATTTTTAAGATGGGTTTTTCTCAAGATCCATTATCGGGCAACTTCTTGAGTTTGGACATCATGTTTTTGGTACTTCTGATACCTCAATAAGGTTGAAATTTTGCCCACATATTCCTTATTATGTTAAGGGTGCAAGTATCTTTGTTAGAACTTGATATTACCTGTATAATTATTACTAACCTAAAGTAACCAAATAGTATGGGCTGAGGATTCTAAAAATTTTCACCTTACAATTTTTATTGACTGTCAAAATGTTTTATACACACTTTCTTGATAGTTACTTGCATTCTTCACTTAATGTGGAGCAATATGAGCCCTTATTCGCACAGAAGTTTACTGGCGTAAGAAGTTTGTTCAAAACGAACTAATGCACATTTTCATGGCATCAAACAAAACTGTGCAACTTACTACAAAACTAGGTAGTTGCATATTTGAAATCAGCATAAAAAACTATATATACAACAAAAAATTCTATTGCCTTAGGCTACAGAATAATGCAACCTTTTTTTCTGAATCGCATCTTTCCTTAAGTGTGAAACCATAACATAACGGTTTGTATGATTTTTTCTAGTTAATTAACAATCAAAATTTTTTGTAAATGCTGAATGCACCTTTTCAACCTCTGTAAATAATACTGTAATAAAGAGACCAGAATAACAAAATTATTACAAAATGTGACACAGAGTGGTGTGCACTGTGACGTAAAGGCAGGGAGGGAGAGGAAAGGGCTGTTTTGCAGTACAGTCAAAGCTCATTATAGTTCACCTCAGATTAGTAGCTTCTTTGAAAATCTCCTTTCAAATGTCCATTGGTTCAATGAAAAAAATATTTCACTACTACGAATTTCAGAGTAACGAATGTTTCAGAATAACGTACTATCGAATTTAATCCCCCTTATATCTCCACCACACTTCAAAGTAACGTATAGTGATTTCAAAATGTTACTCGTGGCTGCGAAAGTAATTCTCAGCTTCATACCTGCCACTATCATAACACGGTCACAGATGTATACACAGCACACGTAGCCAACTCTTGTGGTTGTGTTGATGATTTTGATGCAAATTTTTAATACCTTTACTTGAACAATTCCTCAAAATAATGAATGATTTTTAGTGGTCTCTGGAGATATGTTGAATCGAGGTTTTGCTGTACCACTGACGGGCAAAGTTTTGCGTGAGACTTTTATTCTTTGATGAGCAGGTATGCTACATCTGATAATTGTAAAATTAAACTGCAATTACTAGAGTGTGACTTATGATTTGCTAGCATCATCAATTATAATAAACTTTTAGCATCACTTTCTTTATATTGTAAACTAGGGCCCTACTGTGGCTGTTGCAACTGACCAAACTTATGATCACATGCACTCAAACTTCAGTGTAATGAAGAGCTCACTTGTTTAACCAGGGCCTTATGTGCAAGAAGGAATGTTATGTGGCTGTTGTGATATATCAGCCAGAGTGTGACACACTCGGGCCCATGCTCTTGTTCCTGAAATTCATCGATTCTTCCATATACACACCCAAAATTTAACTGAAGGATATTGTTCGTTGTACCACTAGAACAATCAACATACATAAGCCCTGATCATTAGTGTTTTGTGTGCTGGTGAGAATACGGTGTGACATAAAGTTGCTCGTGGGTAAGATTACGTCACTGCACATATAGGGAGGATCAAATAGGTGCTGAAAAAGGGCACGTGAATATTTTTTTGGGATGGAAGGTTTGCTCGTCACGCAGCACTGTGACAATCGTAAAACATGATTGCCGCTTCTTCCTGCATGAATTGAGGGCAATCTTGTTTGTGAGATGTAAAAAAGGTGTGAGCCTCTTTACTGCCCGTTAAAAGGTAGACTTTTGTTGCATGCTACACTTTTAAAGCTATACTTTTGTTGCAGGTATGACATTTGTTGCATGGAAGACATAGCAGAGGTAAACTTGACTACTAATTGAGCAGAGAGATGTTTCTATGACCAGTACAGTGGCCACTTGTACACAACCTATATTTTGCATGTTATGTACTGGGAGAAGACTAAAGAACAGAAGAATGGAGGTGCACAAATACATTAGATGCACTTTTACAATTATAAATTGCAATTTTGCGTGAAGTGGTTATACTAATAAAAGTCTGCAGATGAAAAAATAACTGCACTGTGAAATGCATACAGTGGTGCTTGTGGTTACCTTACTTGCATAGCCTCCATGGGTGTCCTGCTGTGTATCGAATAAAGTATAGAAAATACAATTGTTGTGTGACATCTGGTATAAATGCAAGGAAAGCATACAGGGCATTATTAGTAGTTTTTATATTTGAAGCTTAGTAATTATGATGATAGTGGAAATGAATTTAGTGGATGAGAAAAACAACTTGCTTCTGGTGTCGACGAACCTTTGGCTTGTTGCCTTTTTTGTCCACTTCGAATAATTTCCTCTGATGTCATTTGTACTACAATTAAAAGCCACAAATAATGCTTCTATGCTATTCTTGTGGTTTCATAAGATCGGGTGTCATAAACAAGTATGCCATTCAATCCATTCCTCCTTTTTTTGTTTACTTGTTATTGGTCACTTGCAAAGATATCAATTTTTTTTTGATAATGTGATATTATGCTGAGAAAGCTGATATTTAGCAATTATTTCTTCCTATTTAGGTACGAATCTCTTAGTGTGTTTTGTATATCCTCTAGGAAATGTATCCTATCTTGAGTTACGAATACGTATGTGTACTTCATTTTTTAAATTGATTTTTTGCTTTGGGTATGGTGTTTTTATAATTTAACTGCCAGTGCAATGCATGTTGAATGTATAAGGTTTTTAAACTTCAAAAGTTCACAGTGTATTAGTTGAATGTGTTTGCCCATTGCCATGTTGAAGGAGCCTGGACACCTTTCAAGTGAACTACCGTCCATTTTACATCCAGGCCTCTTCTGTTTTTTCGTAGCTATAGAAAATGGATGAAATAAAGTTAAACGTGATATGAAGAAAGTAGCCAATTAACAGGTGATGGTAAGTTCTCCAATGGCTTTGAAAGATTTCCTTTTGCAGGGAAATAATTGGCGGAGTAATGAAGATATATAAAGGTGTTTGGTGCTTTTGTCTGCGAGTCGTTCCTGTCTGTGATGGTAAAAACTAAAAAAAGAGAAAAAAATCTTCATGATAATAATTGAAAGGATTTTCCTCTGCTGCTGCATTGTGGATATTTTTTAAAAACACTGTAATTTGTGTTTGCATCCATTGCCTTTTTTTATGTCCTGATCTCTTTATGTACAAAAAGCATCAAGCCACACCTTTTCCTGAAGCTTTTCCTTGTTTTGCCTTTTCCATTGAAGGCCACAGTTGTCTTTCACACAGTTTGCTGCACACACAAGATTTGCACTAAAATATCACCAAGATCTTTAAAGTGCTCTGTACGTGTAGAAAATAACTATGTAGTAGTTTATAGAATGCTCTTTCCTATCATTACCTGAAATACTTCAATTAAGGGTCTTGTGCAGGAATACAATGAAATGTTTTGATATGGTCTGCACATGTCTTGAAGGCTATCATCCTGGTCGTAATGGTTGACTCAGATTGCGATGTGAAACTCTACCCTCCCTAATGAAAAATTGCAGAGGACCAAATAGGGGGATTGGGCAATATGAGTGGTTTTCAGTGTCACCAGGAAAACCATTCCAATCTGTTGAAAGTCCCTGCAAAGAATGGTGGCTGGTGTGCTAAAAGAGGGTGGGCCAATCTAAAACTGCTGAGATAGAATAACAAATGAGGGCAAGGCAGGAAATTTAACTGGAAAAGAAGTTTCTGGTTTGCTACCCTTCACAAAGGGGAAGAAAAGGGGAAGTGAAAGACTGGAAGTGCACAATATGAAAGAAAAAAGCTTCCACAATGCACAAAAGATCAATGATGCCTTGATTGATTTTTGGTGTGGCTACTATTTAGAGTGGCATGATAACTAGAAGGATAATGGGCTGGTGTGATGGCAGAAACTCAATGTGCTGTCTGATAAAAAAAGTTGTTTAGGCAGAATCAATCTATTTCGTGATGTGATGAAAATTCTGGAAGGTTAGGTGTGCTTTCATGATGGTAACACTTGAATGAGAGGAATGATCACAGAGTAATAAATAAATGTCATGGTTTAGAACATAATATAAAGTATTTATGATTATTTTGTTGATAATACCAGACTGGACATGTGTGTATCAGTTTAAGCTATATTAAAGTTTGATACACTGTAGTCTCACTGAGGAAAAGGCTAAATGTAGGTTTCAAAAGTACTATATGTGTGAAAACACCATGTAAGATCAGAAAAGTTGTTGCCTAAATATGTACCTGTAAGGGCCTGCATTGATGGTTTGAGTCATGGGTGATTACTCTGATACAGAGTAAGAATGATGCGGATGAAAAGGAAGTAATGATGATCTCTCAGCATTTAATGACATGGGCCATGTAGTGCACTAGTTCAATGCTGAGCGAAAGTCTGGCTGAAGGGCATTAACATCAGTGAGGTTATTGATTAATAAATTATACAGTAATTTGTGAACACATATATATTCAAACACAAATTTGTGAATCAGTAATCCTTATTAAATGTAAATTATGGCCAAGAGCTGCCCTGTTTTGCAACTGATACTATGGGACATCAAGAAAAAGAATGGTTGAATGCTTGAAAAAAAAAAAATGCATGAATAGTCTTTTTTGCACCCAACTCTGCTATCATATTTGTCTTAGCAATATTATTGCCATAATATCCAAGATTTTTTATATGGATTAAGGCGAATCATTGTGTGGACCATATGTATATTGGTTTACTTGTCCATAACATACCTGTTTTAATGTGCACATTGGTATTTCATTGTTTTACTTTCACGGAATTTAGCATCTATATAAAAGCATTTTGCCTTGAAGATACTCTTTAACCATATACTAATGCTTAACACTGATTGAGACAGGAGGAGGAATAAGGATGCTAGAACTGTTTGAAAGCGCAGTGCACCATTTTTCCTCAAGTGTTTAATACGATCGAACCCATTTGTAATGATCCCAGTTATGACAAATGTACAGTTACTATGAGCAAAGTAAGTACAGCCATCACATTTTTCATGAGGTGCATGGCAGCATGTCTCAAAATTGGTTATTATGGCATTGGGATGCTTTATTTTAAAGCAAATGTGTAAGTATATCTTTGTCTTTGATTAAGGTGCCACTATCTTGCTGTTTAGCACTCTGCTCAGCAGTGACAATGCCTTTTTTGCCATGCAGTGCTATATTGAATTAACAGTCATTACATATGGGCATTATTTGTGCATTCATGAGTTCTTCTTACTAACGTGAACTTGAGTGCATGTTGTTTGCAATTGAGCGCATGGCCACTGACATCCCACTATGGCAGGAGTCTCACCTGAGCCAGCAGGTTGCAGTCGCGCAATTCAGTCCTGTAAGGGCCAGTACAGAAAAAAAGGTAAAAGCGAGGGATGAGGAGGGGAAGGTGTGGTTTCTACAAATTGTCAGCAAACTTTATCATTTGAAAGAAAACCTTTCCCATAACCCTTACAGGGATAATTTTGAAGAAGATTCAGTGCACAGGATTTCAACATGACAATACCAATTGTCAAAGTGACCAATATCTGGGTGTCGATTCTCAAATATAGTTTTCGTTTTGCAGTTAGGTTTCAATACATGGTTTGAAAGAATCCAGTAATATGCCTTGTGCTAGTTGTGCAAGAGACGTACGAGGCCAATGAGGCAGAATTATCACAAAGCTCGTAATTATCGAGAGGTGGTATCAACAGCTTTCCACCACATTTTGTACTTCAGCACTCCTTGCGAACTGAAATGCAGTATCAAAGTTTCTTGCATAATGACTCGTATACAGACTCACGCGAGATAAATGTGCAATTTCTCTGTGAGTGTGGCCACTGAACGTAATTTCGGCTTTGACATAAGTGGGTTACAATTACGCGGATATGACATGAACTGAAGGTAGTGGGAATGAAAGCATGTACATTAATTTAGCCATAATGGTTATTTTGAATTTGTGAGCACTGTACACTTCAGCATTGTATGTGCTATACTGAAATGTTATAATGCATTACCATGAACTTGCATGGACTAAGTTAGTTTGTGTGTAAAAGTTATTATAGGTAAGGGTGTGCGCATGTGTTAGAAAATTTTGAATTTAGTAACGTGCTGTTCAGGTCAGTTTTTGAATCAAATAATTGATATTCGTAAATAAAAAAATTAATAGTATACAAGTGTTTTAAAGTGTCAACTGTGCACAAATGAATGCATAAGTCTTGCAATACCATGATCAATTTTATCTCTGTAGAAATAGTAGCATAGCCATAAAAGAGAGTGCTTAATCAGTAGTGCATTAGTCTATGCTGCTCAAGAAGCCAGGCTTGGCACTTGCTACTTTGTTTCCACTGCTATATTGTGCTTTTAGTGCCAAGACTACGAATACTGGGATGTGAGCATCATTTTACGTTAATTTTAAAAACTACTGTTATATATTTAAAGTATTCCGTTTAATTCACCTCTAACCTATTTTATTTGGTTTCTAAATTCGCCATTTGCACATACTCAATCATAAGTAACATACTCATTATAAGCACATACTCATTATAAGGATCGAGCATAAAATATAACCAAGGTTAACCGTACCTTTCGTCAGCCTTTCATGGTTGTGATGATAAAACAATAATCATGTGACAATGCAAAGAGAATTCTATTAGTTATTTTTAGTCTGCCTTGCATGGTTCTGATGATAAAACAATAGTCATGAATAATGCACGGAGAATTCTACTAGTCAGTTTAGGAAGTGAATTAGGATCAGTTCATTCCCTGGATCCTGCTCCTAAAAACTTACTTCTACCCTGCAGAGTTATGTTCTCTTTCGTCCCAACATTTTCGACAAGTACTGTTGCTTACAATACCATGCTTGAGGCTCGAGCTCACCTGATGAACCAGTACACTCAAAGGCAAAAAAGAGATATGGACCAAGGAGTAAAGAGAAAGCGAGGAGATAGTGTCTGTGAGCAAGAAAGGGCAGTGATTCTGTGCAAGTGGCTTACTATAAAAGATGCATCTTGGAAAGGCATCATTAGAGATCAAAAAGTGTTTTTATGCTCGCAAGCACTTAGGGGCCTGATATACCCTCGTTAATTCAAACGCAAAGAATTATCAAAAAGTTTTGATTATCAGAAGTTCTCAGATATATGACTGAGTTAGGTGACACCACATATTTTGATAAGGCATTGATTTTATCATATTTAAAAATTTTTGAAGCAGTTTTGAACTCTAACTGCACACAATGAACAAAAAGCAAAGGTGTAAGGTCCACAAGTTTATTGGCCATTTACTGCTGATCAGACCTTTTAAAGAAATCGTGAATTGCCTACTGCTTCCTTGCTATATGTACCTTCAGCACAAAGCTCTTTATACCATTTGAGAAGCATCACAGCTTACTATGCATGTGCTTCGTTTCAAACATTTGTTTACTAGCAAAGCCTTTCTTTTTGAAGGCCTGGGGGGCCTATTTTTTATTTTTAGACTGTTAGGAATTTAAACACAGAAATTTTTAAATAGTAGTGAGAAAGCAGCAGATATTTTTCGGTACAGCAGTGCAAAAAGTATTAACCAAATGATGGTGTTTGAATTAAGAAGCATTGAAATAGAGGGCCAACCAAAAAATTTAATTTTGTTTGAATTAACCAAGAGTATAAATTATCAGAGTTTAAACTATCGTCAGTCTGCTGTACTAAATTTTAGTCTTTGTTTGGACAATATATTGCCCAAACAAAGACTAAAAATTTATGACTAAAATTTAAAACACTATAGTATTTTATTAATAATACTAGGCAGTAAACAATTACCACATACTAATGTTTATACGCCTTGCTATTCATGAGATGGCTGTTTCAAGCAGAAATAACTTTTTATAATAAAAGATGCAAAATGTTTATATATATTATGGCATCTCTCATACATTAAAACCTTGTGAATTGCCTGAAGTAAAATTTTGGACACCATTGGTGTCACTTTGCTTGTGGTTGGTAGTGCTGATAGTGAAGTTGATTGAATGAAAAGAGTGCAGGCTGTGATAGCAAATTACCAGAATGATGGCACATACTAAAAGTCGCAAGTTGTGAGCTGTATACTTTGCTGAAGCTTGCATGCATTAGCACTTTTAATAGCAATTCATAGGAAAGGGACAGAGCTGTCTCGCTCGTCAGGGTAATGCAGCAAGAAAGGTTGTGAGGTGAGGGAACGCGCTTGTTGGTGTTATTAAATAATTGTCTCGTAGTATTGTGTGGCCTCTGCAATCCCACACTGATAAGTGTAGCCAGGCAAATGCGCCATGAAAACTGGTCTCTTGCCAAGTTTAAAAAAATATTCTTTATTGGAAATGTTTGTGATAGTAGTAATCCATTTGAAGTGTGTGTGTTAATATGAAAATAGCATCTCATGTTCAGCCAAAAGGAGTAATGTCATTACTATTGGGTTCTTTTTGACCAGTGTGTTAAAAGAGTTTCTTACTTGACATTGCTGAGCAGCTTTGCACTACAGGGGCCACAATATTGTTGAGCATAGGGCCAAGCATTATAGGAGGGAAAGTTTTTGTGAATGTTTCTGTCTCTATGTAAACCTTGCATTATTGTTTGTTTTGTGGTTACCAGCAATAAAGTAGAA